TCAGCAGGACCATCAACATTAATACCTGAAGAGGCAGAAAAATGGGCATTTAGCAACACTGGTCACTTCTTGAATAGTGGCTCACAAGAAACAACCTATATTCATGAAAATATAACAAGGCTTTATATGTCTGATTCCACCCTGTATCAGAACGCACGTGTGTCCCCCATTTCTTTGACTTATTATGGCTTTTGTCTGGAAAATGGAGACTATACAGTAAAGCTTCATTTTGCTGAGATAATGTTCACGGATAATGACACATTTAGCAGCCTAGGGAGGCGTATATTTGATATTTACATCCAGGTATACTATATATGGTTAATTAATTTAATTATTTTTCCAATTTGGTCAACAAAATATTTGATAGAGAATAAGACTGGTCAATAGTATTTTGTTGTTTTGTAAAATACTACGTAAGACCTTTATCGACGACACTGATGTCGTCAATCTTAACTAACTTCAGCATATTTGTCTCCCATAAAAGTTTATAAAAAAAACTACATATTTAAACATATTGAACTTATTTAGATACATGATGGATACACCTTTAAAAGCTTTTTGATTATAAGCAATGATTTTTTTCAATAGAAAAATTATCAAAATTATTTCTATGTATCTAAATATGTTTATAATAGAATTAACCCTGCATAATGCTTTTTGACGTCACTTCTAGAATTAGTCACTGCAATTAATATTATGTTTTCAATAGAATCTAGATTGCATATATTTAAAACTATAAAATCGAAAGCGATTTAGGTTTGGATTTGAAATATTGCATGCAGAGAAAACTGGTTTTGAAGGATTTCAATATTGCAAATGATGCAAAAGGAGTTGGAAAGGAATCTATAAAAGAATTTCATGCTCTTGTGAGTAATAACTCTTTAGAGATTCGACTTTATTGGGCTGGAAAAGGGACAACGGAAATCCCACAAAAATCCGTATATGGCCCTCTTATTTCAGCTATATCTATCACTCATGGTGAGTTTCTTTGTCTCTTTGAGTTTATCTTTCAAATTTTACATTGACAAAATCAAATGACACATTGTTCTTTTGCAATGATGAAGCAGACTCTTCAAGTAGCATATCTGCAGGGGTTATAGTTGGAATAGTAGCTGCTGCAATTGTTCTTATCATCCTAATTGTACTTGGGTGGAGAGTTTATATTGGGAAAAAAAATTCATTAGCAAAAGGTGATTCACTAGAATAAAGTAACACACTATAGATTATGAAATATGTTTCATGATTCTGTCTAGCTAGTTCTCATTTCCAATCTTTCCAAAATAAAATTTGATAACTTAGTTTTTGTAAATCATTATTTGTGCCCTTAATTACTTAGTTATAGGATAACAAAGATAAAAAAAAAAAAAAACGGATAAAAGATTAATCCCACTAAAATAATACCAACTAATTCCAAATATTTTTTATTAATATAATACTTATTTGTTTAACACCTTCAATAACATGAACAGAAGATATATAAGATTATTATTTGAAATATTATATAGTGGTATATAAAAAATGACATTATAGATGTAATATATGTGAGTATAAATCTATTTGACATATAATTACAAATAATTTTAGTGTTAATTTTGATGAGATCTAATATTATATATTTTATGTTATTATAATTTATATACTTACATTATTATTAAATAACATACTAACATATATATTGTTTGTATAGTGTAAGTAAAAGTAATTTATATAATGACAAATATTATATCATTATATGATATATGTCATTATATGAAAATTACTTTTTTTTAAGTGATATCTCATTTTCGTTTTATTCTATTATTTGCAGAGTTGAAGGATTTAAATCTACAAACGGGTGTATTTACTCTACGCCAAATTAAAGTTGCAACAAATAACTTTGATATTTCTAATAAAATTGGAGAAGGAGGCTTTGGTCCAGTCTATAAGGTATTCTACATGATATTATATAGCATCTCATAATTATTCTATTGATCTATTGTACTAAATAATTTAAAGATTCACAAACATTGTACATAATATTTCATAAATACAGGGCATTTTATCAGACGGTACAATAATAGCTGTCAAGATGCTTTCATCTAAGTCAAAGCAAGGAAATCGCGAGTTTATAAATGAGATAGGAATGATTTCAGCTTTGCAACATCCTTGCCTTGTCAAACTTTATGGTTGTTGTGTTGATGGAGATCAGTTGTTGTTGGTATACGAATATATGGAAAACAATAGCCTTGCACGTGCTTTATTTGGTAAATAATTGTCTTATATAATATACTAATTTAGTTACTTTAAATGTGACTTAATTTCAACCTTAATATTACTAAATGATATTGATGATAACTAACTTTTGTTTAATATATGAAGGTAATGAAGAATCTTGTTTAAAATTAGATTGGCTAACAAGGCATAAGATTTGTGTTGGTATTGCTAGAGGTTTGGCTTTCCTACATGAAGAATCAAGATTAAAAATTGTTCATAGAGACATTAAAGCTACTAATGTGTTGCTAGACAAAGACTTGAACCCAAAGATATCTGATTTTGGTCTAGCTAAGCTCGACGAGGAGGACAACACTCACATAAGCACTAGAATAGCTGGAACTTAGTAAGTTAACAAAAAATTTCAAACTTTTTTTTTATTGTTTGAATTTTACTAAAAAGTCTTATGGAAAGAAAATTTACATTACAAACTTTACCAATTATGAATTTCAATTATGTAGTGGATATATGGCTCCAGAATATGCAATGCATGGTTATTTGACCGACAAAGCAGATGTTTATAGTTTTGGAGTTGTAGCTTTGGAAATTGTAACAGGAAAGAACAACACCATCCATCGACCCAAACAAGAAGCATTACATCTTCTAAATTGGGTAAGTTCTATAAATTTTCTAAATATTTGTAGATGTGAATCAAACTATCCTTTATATGATTGTTGTGTTAGACAAGTTGTGTAATTCAATTTTCATCAATGATCTCTCTGGCCATTTAAATAATGCAATACATGATTCATACATAACATGATTTTCATAAAATCTACCAACTTGGAGACATTAATTAAACTAACAACATTGTATTCTTTTCTTTTTCAAAATTATAGATTTTTTTTAAACACAAGTATAGCCAATGTCCTCCTACTCTAAATCATCTTCAAATCAGGATTCTACACTGTGATATACTTCTTCATCAACTATTGGTATTTGAATTCTGAAGTGTTCTAAAATCAAACTGATTTATGTATTTTGTTTCAACAGGCACATTTATTGAAAGAGAAAGGTAACATAATGGAGCTAATTGATCGAAGGTTAGGTTCAGATTTCAATGAAGTTGAGGCAATGGTGATGATCAAAGTGGCTCTCCTATGCACCAATCCCACTTCAAACCTTAGGCCCACCATGTCATCAGTGCTCAGCATGCTCGAAGGAAAAATTGTAATTCCAGAATATGTTTCAGATCCAACTGAGATGATGGATGAAATGAAGTTAGAGACAATGCGACAATATTACTTTCAAGTAGAAGAAAATGAGAGAAGTAAGACACAAACACAAAGTCATAGTTCATCAAATGATGGGCCATGGACTGCTTCATCTTCATCGGCTGTAGACCTATATCCTGTCCATATTGATTCTTCCTATTGGGAGAAAAGAAATTAGAAATAGGTATAAATTGTTCATTCTAGTATCCCTTATTCTTTAAAGCTCGTTTTTCCCAATTAAACCATAATTTCATTTTAATCATATTTGTAACTCATGTTTGTTCGTAGTTATCAACAGTTGGTTGATTCGAATGGTACATGCTTGATTTTTCTAAACAATTAAGGTCTTGAGTATGAACCTTGGTCTAGTGCACAAAATATTTTCATTATAAGAGTTAGCCACATCACATTATGAATAACCCTATTTCGAAAACTAAGCTATAGTTATCCATGAAAAATGCATACGATATGTGATTGAAAAAATATCCAACAAATTTCTTACAACACTAAAAAAATAATGGAGTTATCAAGATTACTACAAGATATTGAATAATCCACCACTACACATAATTCCTTCTTTTAGTCGGAGTAGCTTTTTTATTTTATATTATTATTAAATATAGGTACTTTTTCATGGGAAATAATCTTGCTTATCTCTGCTAGGAATATTATGCGTGGACAAACGATCTTGCAGTTTAGAATAAATTAGTTTATCTCATTTTGGTATAGCATTTTATTAATTTATTTTGCGAAGTATACAAGCAAATTCCTATATGATGCTCTCATGTTGTGTTATCTCCTTTTGTCCTAGCATCATATACACAAAGCTGTGAAGCCAAGATTAGCCTAACACGTTGAAAGAAGTTGTTTTTTTATATTTTTTTTATCCGGATTATCAAATTAAATACATGATAAGGCTTCACTTCAATCCAGTGTTAAATACTTGAGATAAATAAATAAAAATAAAGTTTTAGGAGTAATTGTTAATAAAATTATTTTTATTTAATTTCTTAATTTATTAAATTTAAATAATTCAATCATTAAATTATTTTTTATTGAATAAATTATGCTTATATTTTTATGAAAAATTAAATGTATTTAATATTTTATTAAATAAGTTTTTTTTAAAAGATTCTAGGTTAATCTAAGAAGGATAACAAATATATATTAGACTAGAACTTCATACTAAATTAAATATAGCTATCAAATATATAAATATATGTTATATGTTAGTTGCACACGCTACACTTGGAAAGAGTATTACAAAAAAGGATAGGAGAATAACAAAATTAAGGAAGTCTTGTCAAACATCCTAATATTTTACTAATTAAAATATAATAAATAATAGTTAATTAAATATAAATCAACTCCTTAATGGGTCTATATACAAAGAAATTGAATAAAAAGAACCTAGACTGAAATAAATAGGATGTTCAATTGTTGATTAAGTTAATACTAATTAGTTGAACAAGTGTACATTAATGAAGAGTCTTAGAAGTTATGTAGAAATTATTTAAGACTTAACATTTAGTAGAGACCTAAATCAAGACATATAAGTGATAAATTAATTTGTTGTGAAGTCTTATAATTAATTAATATGTAATTTAGCTAATTAAATCAAATCAAACACTAGATTAATATAAAGAGGTTAACTAATTAAATTAAGCACTTAGTCAAACTAATTAGTATATGTAATATTCTGAAACTTTGATATAATATTATAAATTTTATTATCATTATGTTATTCTTAAAGTGATAGTCAAAATTTTTAGTTATAATATTTCTAAAATAAGTACAGATTAAATATAATGTTTTTATTTGCTTTAAAATTTTTATATTTTGCATCTAACAATGTAGGGGAATATGACTATTCATAGAAGAACGAAGGACAAAGGAAGCTAAAATGCAAGCAAGACGAATGATTGATATAGGTAAAATAGGTATCATTTTACTTACTCAAATAAAGCATAATCTACATTATATTAGGATAGATATCGTTTGATATGCTAGAATATTCGTATACGTCTATTGTCCATGCAGACAGAGACATAGTGAATTATTGCGTCTTTATACACCTAAGGACACTGCAAGAAATTACAGCGTCCAAGATTCCTCGTCAGATGAAGTGTGCAAACCACTTCTCTTGCGTCTAAAAAATTTAGTTCGTCAAAATTGTCATTAATAAATGTAGTGTAGTCAAAGATAGACATTCTCCATATTTAAAAGAATGAGACAACTGAGTAGACAAACGACAAAACCATCGTTTGGAATCCTCTCTTGAAAAGGCAAATCTCCTTCATAATATTAAAGCGCGCCATATGAGAAGCTTACATGGAGTAGACCAAAGGACACCACGTCGTACGAATCATAAGGGAAACAAATAAAAAAACAGAAAATATCCTTCTGTTTAAAAAAAAAACCTTATATCTTCCCTCCTATTAGAAAACGTACTCCCTACGCTTTACAACTTTGAAACTCAAAACTCTTCACCTCCACCTCAAGTCTCTAAACCCTAATCTCTCATCTCTGTAACTCCTCTTCTCCATTGCAATGGCCGCACAAACTGGAAATGCCACAGATGTGAACATTCTAGCAGAAATGCGCAAAGCTACTGAGTATGCTCACACCTTCTTTATAGAGGAAAAGCCATTTATGTACTTAGAGCATCGCTTCGACATTAACAAAATGCAGGATTGGGGAATACATATCTAGGAAGATTTCGCCAAATACGGAATCCTTGGGTACTTCAACATTAAGGAAGTAGTCTACCCTGGTCTAATAAAATTATTCTACGAATCTCTAAGAATCCATCAAGGAGCTTTTGAAGGAAAGGTCCTCGGAGTAAAGGTTAGGATATCCCCCTCCTTCATCGCTCAAGCCATTGGATGTGAAAGAGCTGGGAACACTTACGGGGAAGAGTGGATTTTTGACGCCGATGGGCTGACAAAATTTATCAAAGCTCTTCACAAAGAAGGTGAGAAAGGGCTAATAGTCTACAACAAGCTTGATGACAAGGCCAAAATTTGTCAACAAATTCTAAACAAATCAATCCTCCACAAAATAGGTGGCAAAGATAGCATATCATATATGCACAAATTCTGTCTATTCCATATGATGACAGGAATTGCCTTTGACCTACCTCAAACACTATTTCAACATTGGAAGGGATGTCTAAAAGATTGAAAAAATTTCATAGTTTACACTATGCTTCTAAATAAAATCCTCTAGGATCAAGGCGTCTATCACAAGTTTCACAATCTTGAAGACAGAGAAGAGAAGTAGAAGATCATGGATATGGGAACAAACAAATGGCTTCAACCTATTGTTTTCGGAAAGGCTAATCTAGGGAAAATGCCTGTAAACTACACCATTCTTGATCTCACTGAAACAATTAAATAAAGGAGGAGATTGGAGAAGAGCAACGTGCGACACGTTCAACAAAGAAGAGTAAGTCATCTACATCTTCCATGAACACTAAACCTCTAGCTACTGCAGCACCAATGGCCAGACGAAGAATGATTCTTCAAGTGGACAAAGAATTCACATTTGATGATGAGGACAACCAACCCATCAGGACTATTTTAAAAAGAAAAGTCATGTTACCACCACCTGCACCACCTCAGTCTACAAAGAAAAGGATCATAAGGCTTAGGTCAAAGATGGTGGCTAAACCTCCGTCTGAAGATCTCACCACTTCAACTCAGATACCTGCAAATGTTCCTCCCCTTCCTGTCATTGAACATTCACCATTCATAAGTGACATTCTCATACCTCTCTCTTCCTTTATCAAACCATTTATAACCTTTATCTAATCATGAATCTCCCTATAGGTTGTCACTGTAGATACTACTACATTAAGAAATAGAAAGTTGGCAATCAAAGCTAATCTTATGATCTTACCTCCAAGGCCTTCTTTCTTTCCATTCCCTCTGGTCCAAGGTGGAGATGTGTGTGTGTAGGTGCCCTTTGGGAAGGGCAAGGGTCGCTATTTATAGACTTTCAGGAGGGACCGGAACGGCCCGTTCTGGACTAAAATTTTAAATTATTTTGGTAGTTCGGGAACGGCCGTTCTGGCCTAAAAACTATAGGTCTTTTTTGAAAATTGGAACGGCCTGTTCCAGTTTGGAAACGGCCCATTCCAGTTGTGGGAACGACCCTTTCTAGGCTAGAAATATTAGGGCATTTTGGAAGGATGGAACGGCTCGTTCCAGTTTTGGAACGGCCCGTTCTGGGCTATAACTTTTAGGGCTCTTTAGAAGGTTGGAACGGCCCATTCCAGTTTTGGAACGGCCCGTTCTGGGCTAGAACTTTTACGGTTCTTTGGAAGGTTGGAACGACCCATTCCAGTTTTGGAATGACCCGTTCCGGGCTAGAAATTTTATGTCTTTTCGAAAGGTTGGAACGGCCCGTTCTGGGCTTCTAAAATCATATGAAAATTACTAAATTACCCCCCATAAAAATATAAGAAATGAGGTGTTACATTTGGCTTCCATATTTTTGTCTTTTTTATTCTTTCTTGTATATACCTTTTTTGCTATTTTTTTAAACAAAAATTGACATTTCCCGAACGAAATTGGGTTACTACAGTTGCCCCTCTTTACTTAATTTTACTAGATAATATAAACAACTCTTGTTTCCATATTATCGTAGTAAAATATAAGTAAAGAAAACACCAATTTCGTCTAAGACAAAAGTTGCATGTATTCACCACTTAGAGAAAAGATAATCATGAGATTTTAGCATAAATTAGAGAATATAAGATCTAAAAGCAATAAGAATAGTAGACACAGGGTTCCAAACGGTTGAGAGTTGAGCATAGGGCTTGAAATGTGAAAGTAGTGAACTCGGAGATCCAAAGAGTTAAGAGTTATAAGCGCGAGGACACAAAACATGAAAATAGTGGGCTCGGGGATCCAAAATATTGAGGGTCATGAGCGCGGGGACTCAAAATGCGAAAAAGTGAATGAGTGTGTGGGGTTTGGAACATCAACAGAATTAGTATAGAGGCTAGAAACAGTAAAAGAGTGAGTACAGAGGCTCAAAATATTAACAGAGTGAGCACAAGGGCTCAAAAGATTGATAGAGTGAGCTTAGAGGCTTGAAAATTAAAAGAGTGAGCACGGGGGCTCGAAAGATTGATAGAGTAAGCATAGAGGCTTAAAAATTAAAAAAATGAGCACGAGAGCTCGAAAGATTGATAGAGAGAGCATAGAGGCTTCAAAATTAAAAGAGTGAGCATGGGGGCTCGAAAGATTGATAGAGTGAGCATAGAGGCTTGAAAATTAAAAGAGTGAGCACGGGGGCTCGAAAGATTGATAGAGTGAGCACAGAGGCTTGAAAATTATAAGAGTGAGCACGGGAGCTCGAAAGATTGATAGAGTGAGCACAGAGGCTTGAAAATTATAAGAGTGAGCACGGGGGCTCGGAAGAGTGATAGAGTGAGCATAGAGGCTTGAGAATTAAAAGAGTGAACACAGGGGCTCGAAAGATTGATAGAAGCTTGAAAATTAAAAGAGTGAGCACGGGGGCTCGAAAGATTGATAGAGTGAGCATAGAGGCTTGAGAATTAAAAGAGTGAACACAGGGGCTCGAAAGATTGATAGAGGCTTGAAAATTAAAAGAATGAGCACGGGGGCTCGAAAGATTGATAGAGTGAGCACATAGGCTTGAAAAAGAGTGAGTACGGGAGCTCGAAAGATTGATAGAGTGAGCATAGAGGCTTGAAAATTAAAAGAGTGAACACGGGGGCTCAAAGATTGATAGAGGCTTGAAAATTAAAAGAGTGAGCACGGGAGCTCGAAAGATTGATAGAGGCTTTAAAATTAAAAGACTGAGCACGGGGGCTCGAAAGATTGATAGAGTGAGCATAGAGGCTTCAAAATTAAAAGAGTGAGCACGGGAGCTCGAAAGATTGATAGAGGCTTTAAAATTAAAAGACTGAGCACGGGGGCTCGAAAGATTGATAGAGGCTTGAGCATTAAAAGAGTGAGCACGGGGGCTCGAAAGATTGATAGAGGCTTGAGCATTAAAAGAGTGAGCACCGGGGCTCGAAAGATTGATAGAGTGAGCATAGAGGCTTGAAAATTAAAAGAATGAGCACGGGGGCTCGAAAGATTGATAGAGGCTTGAGAATTAAAAGAGTGAGCATGGGGGCTCGAAGAATTGATAGAGGCTTGAAAATTAAAAGAGTGAGCACGGAGGCTCGAAAGATTGATAGAGGCTTGAAAATTAAAAGAGTGACGGGGGCTTGAAAGATTGATAGAGTGAGCATAGAGGCTTGAAAATTAAAAGTGTAACACCCCGAATTTTCTGTTGATATAATATTAATTATTATTATTTTTATATGTATGAAAAATTAATTTTTATATTAATTCAGATTTTTTTTAGGCCCAGAACGGCCTGTTCCGAAAAGCGGAGCGGGCTGTTCCCAAAAAGCGGAACGGGCGTTCCAAAAAGTGGAACGGGCCGTTCTAGGGTAATAAAATGGCCTAAAATTTTTAGTTGGAAACGGGCCGTTCCAAGTATGGTCAATGTGGGTTAAAATCAACCCTAGAACGGGGCGTTTTGGTTTAAGAACGAACTGTTCTGGTGTTGAGAACGGGTCGTTCCACTTATGATTAATATGTGTAAAATGAACTTCGGAACGGGCCGTTCTGCTTGTTGAAAACGGGCTGTTCCAATTTTGGAACGGGTCATTCCAGTTGAGAAATTTACGTATATTTGAAGGATCTGGAACGGGCCGTTCCAGGGACCCCAGAATGCCTATAAATAGGAGGCTGAGGGGTGAAAAATTTATACTGAGTGAGAAGGTGAAATCTTAGAGAGAGAAAGAGAAGAGAGAGAGAGAGAGAAAGAGAGAGAGAAAGAAAGAAAGAAAGAAAGAGAGGGAAAGAAAGAGGGAATCCAGAGGAGGAGGCCCTGCCCAAGTTCCAGCTCCTGCTTGTCCAGGTAAGGGGGGGGGAGTGAGAAACCTCGCTCAGGGGTGTGGGGATAATTGTTGGATAGTTTGTTAATTTGTCAGATTGGCCCCCAATCCCTTGCCGTTGTTCTGTCTTATTTTTTGTTTGCTCTACTTTATTTCTTGTTGGAAATAATAAATGATTATGTAATCCCAATCCCTTGCCGTTGTTCTGTCTGGTTTTCTATTTGCTCTACTTTATTCCTTGTTGGAAATAATAAATGATTATGTCATTAACGTTAAAAATAAATAAGTTTTAATATGAAAAAGAATGTTCTCTGTGAATTCCTATGCGGACCTTATGAGGAGTGAGTTTAGATTTGGAGTGGATGGAGTTTTGAGATTTAAAGATAGGTTGTGCATTCCTAGTGTGCTAGAGCTTAAGAGAGCAATCCTAGAAGAAGGTCATAAGAGTAGCCTTAGTATCCATCCAGGAGCCACTAAGATGTACCAAGACCTTAAAAAGATGTTTTGGTAGCCTAAGATGAAGCGGGAAGTGGAGGAATTTGTGTATGCTTGCTTAGTATGTCAGAAAGCTAAGGTAGAACACCAAAAACCTTCAGGTCTGATGCAACCTTTAGATGTGCCTGTGTGGAAGTGGGATAGCATCTCTATGGATTTTGTAGTTGGGTTACCTAAGACTGTGAAGAACTTGGATGCTATATGGGTCATTGTGGATAGATTGACTAAGTCTGCCCATTTTATTCCCATTAATATTAGGTACTCTTTGGAGAGGTTAACCAAGTTGTACATCAGTGAGATCGTGAGGTTGCATGGAGTTCCTACTAGTATTGTGTCTGATAGAGATCCTAGGTTCACCTCTAGATTTTGGGAGAGTTTGCATAAGGCTTTAGGCACTAAGCTTAGATTGAGTTCAGCTTACCATCCCCAAACAGATGGCCAAACTGAGAGAACCATACAATCTTTGGAAGACTTGTTGAGGGCTTGCATCTTAGAACGTGGGGGTAGTTGGGATAGTTTCCTACCTTTGATAGAATTTACCTACAATAATAGCTACCATTCTAGTATTGGGATGGCACCATATGAGGCTCTGTATGGTAGGAGATGTAGAACACCTTTATGTTGGGTAGAACCTGGAGAGAATGTCATGTTAGGACCTGAGATAGTTCAACAAACTACTGAACAGGTTAAGATGATCCAAGAGAAGATGAGAGCAACCCAGAGTAGGCAAAAGAGTTATAATGACAAGAGGAGAAAAGACCTTGAGTTTAAAGAAGGTGATCATGTATTCCTTAAAGTCACTCCTTGGATAGGAGTAGGCAGAGCACTGAAATCCCGTAAGCTTACTCCACGTTTCATTGGTCCTTATCAAATTCTTAAAAGGATCGGTGAAGTAGCCTATCAAATTGCCTTGCCTCCATCTCTTTCAAATCTTCATAGTGTCTTTTATGTTTCTCAACTCAGAAAATATGTCCATGATCCCTCCCATATCATTGAGTCTGACAACATTCAGTTGAAGGATAATCTCACCTATGAAACGATTCCTTTAAGGATTGATGACAAGAGGGTGAAACAACTAAGAGGAAAGGAAATTCCTTTGGTTAAGGTCGTGTGGGTAGGAAATATTGAAGAAAGTGCTACATGGGAATTAGAAAGAAAGATGCGAGAAGCTTATCCATTTCTGTTTTCAGGTAAATTTCGGGGACGAAATTTCTAAAAGGAGAGGAGAATTGTAACACCCCGAATTTTTTGTTGATATAATATTAATTATTATTATTTTTATATGTATGAAAAATTAATTTTTACATTAATTCAGATTTTTTTTTAGGCCCAGAACGGCCTGTTCCGAAAAGCAGAACGGGCTATTCCCAAAAAGCGGAACGGGAGTTCCAAAAAGTGGAACGAGCCGTTCCAGGGTAATAAAATGGCCTAAAAATTTTAGTTAGAAACGGGCTGTTCCAAGTATGGTCAATGTGAGTTAAAATCAACCCCAGAACGGGGCGTTTTGGTTTAAGAACGGACCGTTCTGGTGTTGAGAACGGGTCGTTCTAAAATTTACGTATATTTGAAGGATCTGGAACGGGCCGTTCCGAATTCAGTACGGGTCGTTCCGGGGACCCTAGAATGCCTATAAATAGGAGGCTGAGGGGTGAAAAATTTATACTGAGTGAGAAGGTGAAATCTTAGAGAGAGAAAGAGAAGAGAGAGAGAGAGAGAGAGAGAGAGAGAGAAAGAAAGAAAGAGAGGGAAAGAAAGAGGGAATCCAAAGGAGGAGGCCCTGCCCAAGTTCCAGCTCCTGCTTATCTAGGTAAGGGGGGAGTGAGAAACCTCGCTCAGGGGTGTGGGGATAATTGTTGGATAGTTTGTTTGTCGGATTGGCCCCCAATCCCTTGCCGTTATTCTGTCTTATTTTTTGTTTGCTCTACTTTATTTCTTGTTGGAAATAATAAATGATTATGTAATCTCAATCCCTTGCCATTGTTCTGTCTGATTTTCTATTTGCTCTACTTTATTCCTTGTTGGAAATAATAAATGATTATGTCATTAACGTTAAAAATAAATAAGTTTTAATATGAAAAAGAATGTTCTCTGTGAATTCCTATGCGGACCTTATGAGGAGTATTTATGACATGACCATGTGAAATATGGACAAATGACATGGACCTAAGAATGGACTATTGAGACAAACTGTGATTATGAGACTATGACAAATGAGGACATGATGTACTTAATAAAATTCTGTAATAAATTAAATGTTGAGTTAATGAAATAATGAATGTGTGACATGCATCATATGCATATATTACTCCAGGTGTGCCGCTGAGGCTGCATACGAGTGATGCTAACAAGGTGTACCTTAGGGTCACCGACAGTTGTGATATGCTAACTAGGTGTACCTTGGGGTCACCAGTGATGTAACTTGCTAACGAGGTGTACCTTGGGGTCACCAGCGATGTAACTTGCTAACAAGGTGTACCTTAAGGTCACCGATGATGTAACAAGCTAACAAGGTGTACCTTAGGGTCACTGGTGATGTAACAAGCTAACAAGGTGTACCTTAGGGTCACCAGTGATGTAACCAGGTGTGCCTTAGGGTCACCAGTGATGATATGTGAAACTTCCTTATGGCGCCACATGCATGCATTTATGAGTCGAATCCAGGACATCATAGCATGATAAATGAATATGTATGTGATATTGATTATTTATGTGTATTGTTTACATGTGACTTATATTTGTTGTGCGTGTGTGTGCTATCTAACCTTTATTTCTTCACCTAAAACTAAGTGATAAGTTTCTCACTCCCTTGTTGTTTTTGTATATGTCTAAATTATGTTGCAGGTGATCAACATCATGAGGATGTTGGTGATGAGGCTTAATGCTTCAGTTGGGCATGCTCTGATAGGATGTGACATCGGGGCTTAGCTAGCTTAGTCTAATATATTATTGTTTTAATAACTTTAGTTTGTTTTCTTTTGTAATTTCTAGCAAAGAAATAACGTAAATAAAGTTTGTAATCTTTCTTTTGTAATTGTGAACGTTTTTGATAAAAGACCAAAATATGTATCTTTGTCGTATTATTTTTATTACATAATTTGAAAGTAATAAATTAATTCCTAACTAGGAGGCACTGCCACCTTTGCTGGAATTAATCTAAATTTTACTTTATATGATTTATTGAGTTTTAATACTTATATGTTGACGTTTTATGATTCATGAGTTACGAATGTGAATCTTCTACCTTATGATATTTGAAACAATTATTTTATACACGAAAGATGTTATTAAACTATGAAAGATTTTATTTACTCAAAAAGAAAAAAAAATTTAATTGTTGTTTACGTTTATTTTGTAATGGGGTAGAGGGTGTCACAAAAAGAATGAGCACGGGGGCTCGAAAGATTGATAGAGGCTTGAGAATTAAAAGAGTGAGCATGGGGGCTCGAAGAATTGATAGAGGCTTGAAAATTAAAAGAGTGAGCACGGAGGCTCGAAAGATTGATAGAGGCTTGAAAATTAAAAGAGTGAGCACGGGGACTCGAAAGATTGATAGAGGCTTGAAAATTAAAAGAGTGAGCACGGGGGCTCAAAAGATTGATAGAGGCTTGAAAATTAAAAGAGTGAGCACGGGGGCTCGAAAGATTGATAGAGGCTTGAAAATTAAAAAAGTGAGCACGGGGGCTCGAAAGATTGATAGAGGCTTGAAAATTAAAAGAGTGAGCACGGGGGCTCGAAAGATTGATAGAGGCTTGAAAATTAAAAGAGTGAGCACGGGGGCTCGAAAGATTGATAGAGGCTTGAAAATTAAAAGAGTGAGCACGGGGGCTCGAAAGATTGATAGAGGCTTGAAAATTAAAAGAGTGAGCACGGGGGCTCGAAAGATTGATAGAGGCTTGAAAATTAAAAGAGTGAGCACGGGGGCTCGAAAGATTGATAGAGGCTTGAAAATTAAAAGAGTGAGCACGGGGGCTCGAAAGATTGATAGAGGCTTGAAAATTAAAAGAGTGAGCACGGGGGCTCGAAAGATTGATAGAGGCTTGAAAATTAAAAGAGTGAGCACGGGGGCTCGAAAGATTGATAGAGGCTTGAAAATTAAAAGAGTGAGCACGGGGGCTCGAAAGATTGATAGAGGCTTGAAAATTAAAAGAGTGAGCACGGGGACTCGAAAGATTGATAGAGGCTTGAAAATTAAAAGAGTGAGCACGGGAACTCGAAAGATTGATAGAGGCTTGAAAATTAAAAGAGTGAGAATTTTGATGGAAACAATGTTGATGCCAAGTAGATAATAAACTTCAATGAATGTGTTATGCAAGTACATTACTTGATTACATGTGCATGATAAGTACCGAACTTTGGTACAAATGTTGTGGATGCTAAGCATGTATTGTACTTGAATGCATGAGTTAGGGATGGACCAAACTTTTGATGATGCAAATGACAAATATGCATTGGGCTTGAATGAATGTGTTAAACAAAGTATTAGACATTAATGTGAATAATGTGGGTGTTGGGCAAGTATTGGATTTGAATGGATGTACCAAACTATGATGTAATGAATGTCAAACATGTGTCAAATTCAAAAGTAGATGATATAGATGTCAGACAAGTGCGAGACTTTATATGCAAGTGATGAATTTGAATGCATGTATTAGGAAAGTACCAAACTTTGATGCAAATAAAGTGGATGCCAAGTGAGCATTGAACATGAACGAACACTTCAAACATATTAATACAAATGATGTAATGCTTGATTCGGTGTTGGGATGCTTATGAGGTGTTATAGACACATTTCATTTTGTTTTTTTTTTGTTTTTTTTTTTGTTTCTTTTTTAATTTTCAAAGAAAATCATAAAAATGATTATTTTCTTTAGAGAAAGCAAATCCATGCAAAGCCCTTTCACCCCTTTATTTTTATCCTTTTTCAAATCCATGAAATCCTGTTATTTTCTTCTTTGTCAATCGTTGAAAAATAATCTCACAATTTATCCTTTCAAGCTTATCCCACCTAGAATCAAGTGAGACTCATTTGGCCTAACTTATCAATTAAGTGATTATCACCATCTTGTTATTCCCTTTGAAACATCATTTAACCAACATGCATAACAATGACAAATGATTTTTTTGGAAGACTATTCAAAAAGGATATTTGAACGTGACTTTATTTTGATGTAGAGAAAATAGAGCAAACTACACCAAGATATGACAAGAATTGAGAACCTGATGGGAATAAGAGATTGAGCAATTTCCCCAGTTTGAAATTAATGGAGTAAAAAGTGGAAGAATTTAGACTAACTTGGACTTTGAACAAGTGAGGCAAATGATTTACATCACTTTAGACTCGAGTTGATAGAATCAAACAGTGACACGTATGAGAAGGATAACCCGTATTTAGAATGGTGGAATATGGATGATACAGGCATTAACTTGATTAAACTTGAGACACATGGATTATATGGTTGGAATGAAAATGTGATGATAGTTGAGAACTTGTCCCGGTATAAATGGAGTACTTTGAGTTGCCCCAGTTTATGAAGAAATAGGGAACAAAGTTGGATTAGACAATTATTCCAATTGAAAGTTAAGATGATGAAATGACAATGAGATCCTTTGCCCCAGTGTGAAGTGGTTGTTCCAATTTAGTCTTGAAAGGCAGGGGTAGAGTAGGAGACAATGATGAATGTGATTGTTTTGTTTTCTGACTCAAGAAAATAACATTGATGTATGAATTGATGGAGGAATAAGACATAAAACAAATGTCTCATTTAATTGTGTAAGGGGGAATCAAAGGAAGGCATGACTTGTGATTTGTTCCCAATCTATCCTTTTGAATGATTCTCATAATTATTGAGCGTAGTAATCAATGAACATTGATGAAAAAAAGATTTTGCACTAGATGTTTGTTTCTCTTCATGATGTGATGGATGTGCAAGCCTTACGAGCATTTGTATTTTTTTTTTGAGCAATCATTTTAATGATAGATGAGTTTAATTGGTTTGTCTTAAGGCTAAACTTTAAAAAAAAGCAATCAATTTTTGATCTGTATGGACTTTATCGGGTTGTAACACTGGTCGGTGAGATGGATATGAAAGAAGGATACAAAGGCCCAAATGTGTGTTTAGAGGTTATTTGAAACAAGGATTTTTGCTATAGTGTTAGCTTCAGTGCTTTATTCGATTTCTTTTCCTTGCCCCTTTTTTTTCACCCCAGCTTTTGCCTAGGTTTTTCTTTTGGAGTTTGCAGCCTACCAAGTTGCTCTAACTTTTGCCTAGGCCGCCTTTTTGAGGTTTTCAGCCTAGCGAGCTCTTGTTTCTTTTATTTGTTTTCATTTTCTTTTTAGACCTTAACTTTTGCCTAGACTGCTCTTTTCGAGTTTTCAGCCTAGCAGGTCGCTCTAAATTTTGCCTAAGCTGCCTTTTCAGGTTTTCAGCCTAGCGAACTTTTTATTTTTGTTATTATTTTGCATAGAATTTCTTGACTGCATCAGAGTTTATTGGTTCAATAGATCTTCCCGTCCACTTTCCTCTATGATCTTTTTGAGGTGGTATGATCTTCAATACCAAATCTCTTTCTTGAAACTCTTGTGGGTGGACCTTTTTGGCAAAAGGCCTCTTGATCCTTTCTTGATATATAATTGACCATGACACAAGGCATTCAATCTCTTCTCTTCAATTAGGTTCAATTGATCATAGCGAGACTGAACCCATTATGCTTCTTCAAGTTTAGTTTCGGCCAATACTCTTAGAGAAGATATCTCAACCTCAATGGGAATGACTGCTTCCATACCATAAACCAGAGAATACGGAGTTACCCTAGTAGAGGTGCGAACAAAAGTGCAATATCCATGTAGGGCAAAAAAAAGCATTTCGTGCCAATCCTTGTAGGTGACCACCATCTTTTGAATAATCTTTTTAATATTCTTGTTTGCTGCTTCTACTTCCTCGTTCATCTTAGGGCGATATGGTGAGGAATTTTGACGTTGAATCTTGAAATATTCACACAACTCTTTCATCATCTTGTTGTTCAAGTTGGTCCCATCGTCAGTAATGATACGATTGGGCAACCCATATCTGCAAATTAAATCTCTTTTAATGAATTTGACCACCACATTTCTGGTCACACTAGCATAAGAAACTACCTTAACCAATAACATCAAGGATAAAACAATGCCTTTTTGATGTCTTTGGTTCATCTCTCTTCTTTTCCTTTTGCATTGTTTAGATGGTATCACAAACAAGTTGAATTAAATGTGAACATTATGTTGCCCCTGTTTTGAGGGTGAGCCTTGTTTGAGGTAATTGAAGAAAATTTTCACTTTTAGACTTAAATTTGGGTGGCAAGTGATATATATTTTTTAGAGATAGAGAAACATGGTCATACATCATTTCAAATCTTGACCGCTTATTTTTTTAAGGTTAATC